TACTACTACTACTACTACTACTACTACTATTATTACTACTACTACTACTACTATTACTACTATTACTACTACTATTACTATTACTACTACTACTACTACTACTATTGCTTCTACTACTGCTACTACTACTGCTACTATTACTACTACTACTACTACTACTACTACTACTACTATTACTACTACTATTATTATTATTATTATTATTATTACTATTATTACTGTAATTATTAGTATTATTATTACTATTTACTATTATTACTATTACTATTATTATTATTATTATTATTTTTAATTTTATTATTATTATTATAATTTTTTTAATCCTACAAATTGTACATATAATATACTCGCATAAACGCGCTCCTGTTAAGATAATTCATACACATATGTGTACATACAGCCAATCTAATTTTGTAGGTAATTTTTTTTTCTCTTGGGGAACTTACCAAATGTAGCGCATATATTTTTTCTTTTCTTTTCTTTTTCTTGTAACAAACAGATCAATGGTGTGTCACTATGTCGATTAAATGGATAAGAAGAAAGAAAAGATCCCAACCTTCTAAGCTATACAGGCTTTACATGTCTTATGTAGATCGGATGATCTTTTGTCACATAAGTTTTTCAATAGTTATTAACTGCTCTAGTTAGAGAAGAAAAAAATTATTAAATAATTTTGTTAGATAATTATTGATAAATATTTTATAAATGATTGGCAAAATATTTAATGTCCATTTTAAGGAAGAAAAAAAAATTTGTTTTCTGTAGTGGCAATATGAATCAATTATTTCTTTTTTTCGCCATTCAGAAAACAAAAAATAAGTTTTTTGATCTTATTGATTTAATCTTATTGATTCATACATTATCGTAGAACGTAGAATTAACAGAGAAAAAAAGATTAATGGATCAAATGTTTCGAATCACGAAGGAGATTAAAGAAAAAGAAGAAATAAGAAAGTCAGGTTCTTCAGCAATAGTTTTCATGCAAAAAAAAAAAAAGAGGAAAAAAAAAAAAGAAAGCTACATAAAAAAAAAAGATACAAAACTGAATAAAAGAAGAAAGATAAGAATACTGCTTCTGTTTCCTGCGTATCTACCTCTAAATAGATGAAATGAAACGATTCATATTTTTTTATATACACATCTCATAAACAATAAACATACGCTAAGAAAACCAAAAAAAGAGAAAGAAAGAGAGAAACCGATGAAGGAGAAAAAGAAAAAACGAGGTAATCGCGATTTTTCGAATTTTCACAATATTAAAAGTAACAATTAAATTAAAGATTAAGATTTATCTGATAAAAAGAAATAAGATAACATGTATTTAGAAGTCCCTAACAGAAAGAAAGAAAGAGAATCGGAATACTACTCGATTAAGCATGTGTTTTAAGAAAAAAAAGATTTGATACGTTGTTAAAAGAAATGTACGTTCCCGAGGTTTTCCGTAAAGGCCTTTCATATTAATCACAATTGAGCAACGCCACGTGGAAGAAAAGTGCGTTTATAATCGAAAAATTCGCGTAATTTTTGTTATTATTTGCAATACTTGCACAATTATTATCAATTAGTAAATTTTTATTATGCTAGTTAAATTATATTGTTTGAAAGTTTCATACATAATTATTCTAATAATAAAATTAAATTAATTAAAAGTTAACTTTTTTTTATATTATTGTTAGAATTCATTTCTTTTTGAAAGATAATCGATAAACAATTAAATTAATAAAAATTCTATTTGTTCTTTATATTAATTAGATGTTAACATAATGGGAAAAAGTTACGTAGTGTTTCGTATAATGAAAGATAATGACCAAATATTATCAAACATAATCGAAATGGGCAAAAAAAGCGTATGACAGCGCGATCATGTATCTCTTTGACCTTATCCTTCCATTTCTTATCGCGTGCCTTTACTGTACCAACCGTATATCGGGAAAAAAATAATAAGAGTTCTCATGCAAAAAAAGTCGGAAAGAAGAAATATGTTATAAAGGAAAATCGAATTGACACGAATCATATTTGTAATTTCAGAAAAAAAAAAAAAAAGAAAGAGAAGAAAAACATAATGAAGAACTATCAAACGTTTCAGGTATTTCGAAAAAGTTTCTTACTTATCATCGCGTGCATAATCATGAAGAAATATGTGTTTTTAAGCACAAAAGCAGGATCACATGTAACATATGACTAGTAAATTGAAATTTTTCATCATTGTCCATCCGCATGTAAATTATTCATACGATAAGAGACAAAATTAATAGAATTTCATTTTTGAAACAGAAAATTTTGTTATCATGTGTTCTTTTACTTGAAATATTATTTTTGTTGAATGTTTAAATGTTACAATTAGAATATAATACTTTGATAGGATATATAGAATATATATAAAATATATAATATATATGTATATTATATATTATATATATGTAATATATATGTAATATATAGAATATTATCAATATTCTTATTTATTCAATCAATATTTAAATACTTAAAATTTCATTGACTTATAGTTCGTTTTCAACAGATAGACACGATGAACGAATCAATTTACTCTTAAACAAAACTCGTCCGTGCAACCGCATATACGTAAAACATGTACTTTTTAATAGCTTTGTACAGGTTTAAGGCTGCGTTCACAAGTGTTACCGGATGAAAGTGACGTCGGAAACGAGTTAATAGCTTATTCGAAATCAATTAGCCGCTCAAGGTCGTCTCAAGATCTTATTTCCCCATTATTGATTTTATTGTTTTATATTTGCTGAACTTCTTATTTATTTTAAAACCAGAGAACAAAAATTAATAATTAACGAAGAAAGATAATAATCTATAGAAAAAATAAATAAAATGTTTTATATATTAAATCGTATATATTTATGAAAAAAAAGGGAAAAAATGGCTTTGAGCGGAAATAGATATCGAACAAAGATAAAATACAAATCACAATACAAATCAAAAGATTTTTCTTATTAGTTGAAAATCATTTAAACTGTGTTTCGTTTTCGTGAACCGCAAATTTTTTTCCATTCATGTTATTTGTATCGATGTATAAATCCGTCGTTTAAATCCGGCTCATTATAAAACACAATATCAAACAAAAAACTCGTGTGTGAGTGTACATTCGTATGCCTGTGTATGTATACAAAAGAAAAAAGAAAGAAGGGAGAAAAGTATGGAAGAGAGAGCGTTGATTTTTTTCCTAGATGCGTTATAAGAGAACACATATCACTTTTCTCCATCAGTTATATCAACGCGTCTTATACACTCCTCCCTCTTCGTTGCATTTTAAGTCCGGACAGAAGAGGAAAAGAAAAAGGCTCATTTTTTTACTAGCTTAAGTCTGTGAGAGTGAAAATAGAGTGTTTATCAAAAGAGACAAGTATTTGATCGGTAAGCATTGATGCCGAAAAAATATTTTTATTTCAAAGAATTATAAAATTTTTTCTATCATACTTCTTTCGAATTCTTATCAATTCGACATTTAAATTATTTTTGTTTGTTAAGTTTATAAATCTTCTCTCTTCTATTTTAATATCTCTTTCGGAGAATCGCACAAGAAAGAATTATAAAAATACTTTTAGAATGTAACTTTAACTTAAAAGTAACTTTCAAATAGAAATTTTTTTTTTTTCTTTCATCAATAATATTGATTTTTGGCTTTAATAATCTTAGCCTATCCAATGCTTCGTCTCTTGATACGTGTAAAGTAAGATAGCAAAGGAATCCATAACGCGTACCTTGAGCACACTCTGAGATCTAGTGTATCAATTGCAGTAGAAACATTTATGATCGGTTCTTGCAACATTCTACATTATCTTGAAACTGAATAATTTAATTAATTATTGAAAATATGTTTTAAAAAATTTTATTTCTTTATTAATTACCAAGAAATAATTCTAAATATAAAAAGAAAAAAAAACATGAATTTTTTATTATTTTGGACATGTTCAAGAACCAGTCACAAAACAGTACCAAAAATAATTGTTCCGACGTATGAGTTCATGTGAATTGCTTTTAAATATGAAACGATATAAACCCATATATATATAATTTGTACATAAAGAGAAAACATGTAT